GTAAGTAAGCGTTCTCTTTGAAGTAGTAAAAATGCCACATTTTTATCCGTTTCGAACGTGTCTTTAAAGTATTCTTTCGAGCACTCATCATGTGTCATATCATAAAAATATTTATATGGCATATAGTTTGCATATAATCTATTCTTCATCCGAGACGCTTTCACAGCACCTGACATTGACATTGGCAAATATTTATCTACGAATGCTTCTTTCCACGTTAGTTTACCATTTTTTATTAAATCTAACATCATCATATTATGAATTAATGCTGATGGATTTCTCTTCACTTCCAATCCGAACAGTAAATAGTGTAAACTAGCACAAGATTGTGATAATTGATACATTTCACCACTAAATATATGGCAAAATTCGTCTATATCTTTCAATGTTAAAGCCAATTTTTCATATATGTTTTTATATGATGCAGTTTCTAGCTCACCAAATTTCACTTCATCATTTTTATACCTGATGTTAAACGAATTTCCTATTTTATGCACAATTTCAACAATAGCAGTATTCGAATATGTCCATGTGCTTTCTTGATAATAATTTCCGACTGTCTTCATTTTTCTTTTTTCCAATCTATTCTGTAGACGTAGATTTGTGAAAAACTCCGTAGAAAATGATTCATTTTGGTTTATTTCAAACGATTTCAAAGGTTCATTAAAAATTCCTTCCATACGTAAATTTCCTAGTTCATCTTTATCTCGCCAACCTAGTAAATTACCAAGCCAGTAACCATAGGATCCCTTTGGATCGGTTAAATCTTCGAAAAATTTTTCCAATTTGTTGTTTGTTTGCGCTTTAAAAAATCCATCAAGGTCTTCGTAAATTTTCCTGGAAATCACACTTTCAACTACATTCTGCTCCAGGTTGCTTTGAAAAGCCACAATATGTTCAGCTGCCTTCCTTATGCCAATATTAAGTTTTTCATAATCAAAATTGGCTTCAAAATATTTATCAGCTTTTTTTTTCTTGTCGTAGTAAACTTTTTGGATTTTTGGTGAATACAAAAATTTGATTGCAACCGCATGTGCAATAAATGACAATTTATTATGTCCAATCTCTTCAAATATTTTCATATAATTGAAATAATCTTCTTGAAATGTTGTCAATTTCTGCGACACTTTATTGTATGAAATCACTTCATCTTCTTCATCTGATGAATCATCTCCAAACAATGAATATTTTTCTATGCACTTTTCAACTTGTTGTTCTCTTAAATCTTGATCACTTGTTGATGACATTTTCAAATGGTTAGTTTTATTCACCTTTCTTTATATTATCAAGTCTTTATTGTTAAAGTTTCCGGTGAATCAAATTCAGTTAATCAAACAGAAATTTATTCCGTACAGAGTGACAAAGACTATACACACACTGCGGATTGTATCGATACAGCGGCGATTGTGATTTATAAACGACGAAATGTTTGTGTGTGTAGAATGCAGTCAAAGCGACGATAGTGGTTTTGTTATTTGTCTCGCTTCTGTGTGTGCAATAGTGTGCGTGCACATTTGATAAATAATTATTAATCATGCACAGATTGCAGCAATGCAACCTCCATTTTTAAATCGACTACGTCAATTTTTGAAGTGTTAAATTCAATCAAACGATTTTTCAATAGCGAAAAAATGTTTACACTCTCTGTTACCATGCAAAGTAATGAATTGTGTAGCACACAAATGCAAAGAAGGTGTGATCAAATATTATGAGCATGAATCATCAGTGCATTCGATATAATGAACGAGTTCGCTGTACCAAGATCTTCAATTTTCTATCTAATGCCTTTTTTTCAATCTAGTTTTACTATTTTTACATTATTATCAATTGAGAATTGATAGATTTTTGTGATAAACATGTATGTGTTTGTCGAAGTATAGAATAAGAAGAGAGTATTGATACTGTTTAAAATCAAAACATGTAAAGCCAAAATCGAAACTTTATTTTCAAGATTGCCTAGTTCTGGGCGTTTAACAAAATTAAAACTCTTTTCAGAAAACAAGCAACGATTATGCATAAAAATTTTCACTTGCATTTTATTTCGATAAATCGTCCGATATGATTGATTGAATAATTGCTTATTGCACTGGAAGGAATCAAAGTCGACTTGCTCATCTTTCAGACTAGTTGAAATAGAGTTTATGGATTTTCGAGGAAAAAATACAAATTTAATTGGGAGCGTTGAGTTCTTGATACTAAAACAAAAACTTAAATTAAATTGCATTCGATATGAATAATTGCAGCATTGCAGAGAGTTTTTAAGCGCATCGAGAAAAGCGTTTTCTAAGAAACCACAGTTCGTAATTTAAGCTTTATATTAGGCTTTTTCCTTTCGCAGTGAAACGCAACACGGCTGGAATTATAGTTAGATTGTGTTGAGCTATATATGTTTAGCTTTCTATGGTGCGCCATTCAAACAATAAATCCACTTTTCTGGGTGCATTTCATACAGAACGCTCCTGGAATGTCACGATCATTCGTTTCATTGCAATTAATAAACATAAAACTTTTATTATTATTCTCGACGTACGTCAAAAAAACAATTTCGAAAAAACTTCGAGCATCTAGAATAAAATGTGAAATGATATGGTATTAGTATGTTAAAGTGTACAACATTCAAGCGAAATATGATATTTCCTCGTGAAAATTTACATGCAATTTTCTTGTTGAACATCCTCGACAGAAATAGAGCGGAAAGTATAAAAGCCAGAGCATAAAGTTATTTTTACATGATGTTTAATATACGCAATACTTTTTTGTGACTATTTTCATTGGCTTCAGCCATGATCATGGAAGAAAAAGTTGAGCAAAACTTACTATGATAGATTTTAAATGTCTTTTCGACAAAGAAATCACTTTTTCTGAAATTCTCAAAGGAAAAAGTTGGTCTTTTTCTGATTTTGCATTTGTAATGCTCTCTTCTGAACATATTTCCTGCGGCAATTATTTAGATGAATATTCAACTACTCTTTTGAGATGCTCAAAAAGCTGTTGCAAATATTAACTCGACAAATTATCAAAATGCAAGCGATTTTTATCGCAATTGTATGCACAATTCAACCTGAAATTTGCAACATTTAATGAAAATCGTAGATATTACACAATGTCCAAACAAAGTCTTCGATATTTTTGATTATTTCCACGATGTGTATACTGTACACCTCATCTATATATATATATATAAATGAGTGGTCGGGAATAAAAATGACTAAAGTTGAACCACTTATGGATAACCAATGGAGACAATGTAATATGCGGAAAAAAACAAAAAAAAAACAATGAATGGTTGGTTTCATTTCGTGGTCGATTCCAATTTTGTCTGAAATATTCAGAAAAACAACGAAAATAATTGAAAATCAATGTAATCTTCCGATTTTGATCATGTTAAAACAACAAATGAATTGAATAAAAGTTTTAATTGGAAACAATCGTTAAGCACAATCCATGTTTATGTCAATGTTAAACAGCGTTTGGTTAAGATATCTATCTTACATAAGATATTAAGATAAGATAAGATAGATAGTATCTATTATCTTATCTAGATAATTTTTCAAAAATGTCGAAAATCTTATCTATTATCTTTTCAGTTTTTTTTTCGACTATCTATCTGTCGTTTTTTAGATAAAAATTAAGATATTCATCAAGTAATTGTATCAGAGATTCGATCGATACCAAATGATGATTCACACTACAGATTTGTCCTACTTGTTAAAAAAATACACATCCCATTTATAGAAAAATAATACACTTCAAAATCAGGGTAAATCACGTAAATCTCAAATTGACATATGAATAAAGAATGATATATTTCTAAAAAGATTATCTTAAGATAGCTCAAAGATATATATCTTTTTCGGAAAAAAGATTAAAAAAAAAGATAAAGAACGTGTGAAGGTTTCATACCATTTGTGCTTTTTGCAATAATATGGAGCCGCCATAATTATTTATCAATTAATAGTACTGAAGTACAGTGTATTTGAGTCCGTACCTTCTCTACTACTGCTTGAAAGCACAATGGTATAAAAATCTGCAAGAATTTACGCCTCGTTCTTTAAAAAAGATATCTAGATAGATTTGGACATTTTTGAGATTATCTCGTTTATATCTAGATATTTTTTCTGGGACAGAACCAAACGCTGATGTTAAATCAACTCTGAGACAGATAAAATAATACTTGTCAATTTGGTTCTCCATTTGAGAAATGACTCTTCACTACAGTACTTGAATCCGATGAAATTCAAAAGTCATCGCATCACAAACTGATTCAATTTCAACGAAGGATCGAGAAACTCAACTAAATTTGTTGGAAATTTAAAATAGGTAATTGACCATCGAAACAATCTGCATATTTCAACGATAGCTCATTCTTTATTCATTCTACGTTGGATATTCTGCTACAACACACAAGAACATAATCAAAGATCTCTTTTCAAGATGCTCGCGTCCCTTCGAGTTATCGAAGATAAGATTATGTTAAATTTATCAAGTTTTTTCGTCAAAATTCAATTCCTTTTCATGAGTTTGAAATAATTAGCTGAATAATGCACTGGTTTAAGCAAGAGACTGAGCTTCTGTTCTTGTACTTACATCGGAAGAGGTGGAATCAAATCAATGAGAAGGTAACCAAAGGATAGATAAAAACTGAATTACATTTTGAATCTTCATTGAATCAGCAGAGCAAAAATGAATGTTACAATAAATCCGAAAATAATTCTGATGTCGAAACTGATGAGTCTCTTGTAGAGTTATTTCCACTTGATTTAAGATGAAACGTGTTGGTGTTCAATTTTAAGTGAAGAGTAGAAAATCGTTGGTTTACAATTTTATTTATTGAAGATTTCTATTGAATTGTGTCGTGAGAATTGTGCTGAAAGAAAGAGCTATTGACGCAACTGAAATCTAATCAACAGATGTAGTAGTAAATGAAGTGTAGAAATTCAAATGAATGACAATGAAGACTTAATTCAAATCAATTAGAACTATTGTTATTGTCCGTAGCTTCACTTTTTGGATTGATGCATACGTTTCATGTGCGATTCGGCTTCGTCCTTTCGAATGAAACACTTGTCACACCACTTGCAATGGAATGGTTTTTCTCCCGTATGATGGGCTTGCATGTGGCGTCGTAGATCGGTCGTTTTCAGCGATGAATATTCGCACATGTAGCATTGATACTGACGACGGCGGCAGATCTTCTCATGCGCTGTTTTATCCTCTAATTTTGTAAATCCTCGCAGACATTTGACGCATCCGAATGAGAACTGATCGCGATGGGTGGCTGAATGTTGGTTGAGATTACCTTTACGAATGAATTTATTTCCACATATTCCACATGGAAATTGATGTTCACCAGTGTGTTTTGCTTGCATGTGGCTTTTCTGATCACTTTTACCGAAACATTTGTATTCGCAGAGATAGCATTCGAATCGACGTCGTTTGCATCGCTTTTCGTGCGCTTGTTTGGCCCCTTCTCTGGCAAATCGTTGACCACATTTCGAACAAGAATGGGGAAGCTCATCAGGGTGAGTTCGCAAGTGAGCATTCAAAGTGTTTTTATGTGCAAATGATTTGGAACAAACAGAGCATTCGAATGATTTTTTCCCGCTGTGGATTTGATTATGTTCATTCAAGTTACTTTTTTGTGTGAAACATTTGAAACAAACATCGCATTTGTAAGGCTTCTCGCCTGTGTGAATACGAATGTGTTTGGTGAGATGGCACTTGTGCGCTGCAACATAACCACACACATGACACTTGTGCTCTCCTCGTTTCTTCGCCGCCTTATTTCGCGGAATCGTTCGTTTGTTTTGCTTTCTCGATCCATCGCGTTTTTTTCTGTTGTCACTCGATTTGGGCCTCTTGCGATTGACGTTTGATTCGACCATTGGCTCATCGTCTTGACCACCGTGAGCGTTTGGTTTACTTTCATTCGAACCCGAATTCGTAGAATATTTTTCCTTCTTTGCCTTCTCTTCTTCACACTTCACTTCGTCTTTCACGCCATCCGAATCAAAGTTGAGAATGAAATCGTATTCGGACTCAGTCACCAGATCGATGTTTGAGGTCGCAGTCACTGCATCCACTTCAGATCTTTCATTCGAAAGTGTCACTAAACAATCTTCAAGGTCATCCGATGATTCTTCCTTGATGTCTGGCTCTTGCTTTATTTCAACTGCAAAACTGCTCGGTTTGCGTAGTACACGACCATCCGAAGTACCTTCACCCGGATCCATATCCATAACCGATGTAAATCTGACAAAACAAATGAAGGGAAAACGAGATTTGACCGATCAGAAACATTTTCATTGAGAATGCTCTCGAAACAGAAAAATATCTTTTGTTGACAATTGCGATTGCGCGGATAGAATCTACAATTCAAGTGACTTTTCTTCATTCGTCAGAAAATTACACTCGATTTGTAAATAGAAACGATCATTCACAGTCCTTTTGTTTTTCAATTAATGAAATTGCAATTTCGAATATTTTAATACTTACAAATACCGTGTGTCCGTGTAAAAAAAGAACGAAAATGTCTGCTGGCCAATTTGTCAGGGAAATATTAGCCAAAAAAAGGTTGTCGTTGCTATTGTGCAGCATCAAATGTCAAAGCTGAGCGAGGAACATAGACTGAGTGTGGCGCGATATTTCGTTGGGTGTGTTAGTTGAACGTTCAACATTGGCATTAGCATGAAGTTGTTTCTCATTTCATGCTCATGATTCATGAACCAATTCTTCAAATACCCTTCACATCTAACATAATGATTTCGATTTTTTTCCTTTATAGAAATCCCCACACCTTTTAATCGAAACACTGTTGACTAGAATGAGTAATTCACTAAATTGTTCGAGAATGCGAATCGCAAACATGAATTCCAGTTCGAATGACAGCTGAACATTCAGAATTTGCTTCATTATAATGGAATTGAGCTGCAAGCTGTCACCTGCACGTATTGTAGTAAGCAACACAGGCACACCACACACAAACAGCATTCGATCACGCCACTCGCCACACTCAACCGACGTACGCAGCACTCAATGCTACTCAACCACTTTGTGTCGGCCATTCAAAGGAGAAACACACAAAAAAGCGCGTATTCATTTACATTGACGAACAAATCAACCAAAAGTAAGTGCTCGAAATATGTGTTTTCCATTTTAAATTTATTATTCTGTTTCAAAGAGAAAAACGAAATTCTTCAATCGAATATTCATCGATTGGTTTTTATTGGAAAGCGATTTATTTTTGTGCATAGTTTCATATTCGAAAATCTGGTGAATTTCGTTGTTTTCGGCACGGCACGCATTGAATGGTGCATTCAATTTTCTCATAAAATTAAAGCTACTTCTTTGTTTTGCGATAAACGTACATTCTCAGTGGTGATTTTGAAATTCGAAGTTATTGCAACATTGATTGTGTTAAGTTTAATTTTGATTGGAAATATTCGTTTGTTCTCAATTTGCTATTTTCCATATTTTTCCTCGTATCTTTGACGACGTTCCTTGAAAGAACAACACAGCGACCATTTTGCTTGACATTTGGTCAACAACTTTTGTATGGCGTGACGAGAGTTGTGAGATTTCATTCTGAGTTTCGTTTTTCATATGACTTGATATTTTTCAATGCACCTTCACATTTAACTCATCAACACATTTTCGCAGACTGCCAATAATCACTTCAAATGCTGATGTGTTTTACTGTAATTGCATCAGCAAAATACTCTGCACAAAACACGTCCCAACTGTCTGATTCATTTCATTCTGACTGGCATTGGTTATGCAACAATGCCTTTTATTCTATTAATTTCATTCATCAGCAATATATCCGAACTGTCTGCTTCATTAAAAAAAATTTCTTCATTTTTTTTTCGATTGTTCGACAGACCGACATCGGTTATGGATATGGATCCGGGTGAAGGTACTTCGGATGGTCGTGTACGACGCAAAATGAGCAGTGCTGCAGTCGAAATAAAGCAAGAGCCAGACATCAAGATAGAACCATCGGATGGCATTGAAGATTGTTTGGTGACACGATCGAATGGAAGACTTGAAGCAGTGACAGCGACATCAAACATCGATCTGGTGACTGAGTCCGAATAC